TCTGTGTGTGTGCATCAGAGGGTAGCTGGGCCCTCCTCCCTGACCGCCCCACTCCCGAAGCGAATGGGGTGCGGGTGGCGGGCTGGCCTCTCCGGCTCTCAGGTGAAGGGGGCCTGAAGCTGGGCTTGTGGATTTGGGATGGGGGAGGGGGAGGGACTGGCAACTTATTTCCCAGGATGATGAATCCCAAAGAAAAAATGAAAAGCTAGCTGTCCCCCGCCCCCAAGCTAACCTTGTTTCCCCCTCCGTTGCAAGGACCCGGGGGCCCCCTGAGCGGCGTCCCCTTCCCTCGAGTCCATTCCGCGGAGGGGGTGGCGGGTAGTGGATGCACAGCTCCGTCCACCAGCGGGAGCCGCTTCCGGCCGGGCGCACAGTGGCAGACCCAGCCCGGCAGCTCTTCCCCACTCGCGCAGAAGGGCCCTTGTCCGCGTCGGGACCAGGCTCTCTGCGTGCGGGGTGGGGGGACAGAGCTGAGAGACTCCTAGGGATTCTCTTTCCAGACCCGAGTTCTTGCTGGTCCCTCAAGAGCCAGCAGGGGGCGCGCACTCCCAGGCCCCACCTACCAAGCTTGGGTTGAGTCGTTAAGGGCTATGAAGTGGCTGGATGGAGGGTGGGTGGAAGACGAGCGCTGGAATCAGACTCCTGAACCACCCTCCTGGAGTCCCATGGCGAGCCTAGAGTGTGCACAGGTGGGTGGAAACAGCCGGAAAAAATACTGGCTTGGCCTGCAGGGCGTCTGCCTGGGACGGGGTACAGAATGGAGGGACCTGGACAGACTGCCTTCCTGGGAGGAACTAACCAAACCTTGTGTGGGAGGAAAGGGGAAATAATAACAATACAACGTTTTAGGGTTGGGGAAGTATGTCTTCACTTGCCCTTCTCAAGGCTTGGTGGATTGTTTCCATAGATGAGCCCAAACTCTCTCCCATCCTGCCTGCCCTTTGGCAATGTGACTTTGACATTTCTCCCAGCCAGCGGTGGGGTTGAATCTGAGTGCACTAATATCATGCTGTAGAAGGGATGTTATACAGTTCCCAAGCCTAAGCCTTCAGAGGCCTTGCAGATTCCGTTTTTGCCCTCTTGGGAGCCGGCTTAGGTAAAGAAGTCTGGATGTCCTGCCGGAAAGTCCACAGGGTGAGGTCGAGCGGCCCTGGAGGATAAGTAGCCAGTGGAGAACAGTAGTTTCCCCCCGAGACTGTCAGCATCAATTGCCAGACACATGAGTGGGCCGTCTTAGCTGTTTTAGCTCCAGCTCAGCTCCAGTGGGATGCTGCTGGATGAGTGACCCAGCCATAAAGCAGGAAAACCTCCCAGCTGAGCCTAGCCAACCCACAGAGTCATAAAACGAATAAAGTGTTGTTGTGTTAAGCACTAAGTTTTGGAGTGGCTTGTTACACAACAATAAATAATGAAACTCTAGGAAGGCGTCAATTATTCTCAGGTGCCTCGTGAAGGAGGAGGAGGAGGAGGAGGAGGAGGAGGAAGAAATCACTTAGGAGATCATATAGGTCAGTGACGGCGAACCTATGACACGCGTGTCAGAGGTGACACGCGAACTCATTTTTTTGGTTGATTTTTCTTTGTTAAATGGCATTTAAATATATAAAACAAATATCAAAAATATAAGTCTTTGTTTTACTATGGTTGCAAAGATCAAAAAATTTCTATATGTGACACGGCACCAGAGTTAAGTTAGGGTTTTTCAAAATGCTGACACGCCGAGCTCAAAAGGTTCGCCATCACTGAATAGGTGGTTACTTGGGTTGGGAGTGAGCACCTGATCCAAAGGTGAGCCATCCCCATGCTGTCCAGTGAACTTTGACCTGTGTGGCCTCGGTTGAAAAGTTGATCTGGGCCAGATTCCTCTTTTTCAAGAATTTGGAATTGGGGAACAGGGACTGGAAAGTCAGCCGCGAGTGTGGAAGCTGAGGATGCCGTGAAATGCAGTTGGCTTCCAAGAGACCTGGATGAGCCTTAGAGAGCTGTGAGCAGAATGAGCCGATCAGCAGGTAAAGATGGAAGAAGATGTGCAGAAGAGAGTCGAGACCCTACAAAAGAGGAACCATGCTGCCCTGAGAGGGAGCTACCTCTGATCCTGACAGTTTCTCGAGTCCCAGTTGAGGCTCTGGCTAACGTGCCCATCTCTAAATTTCCATGATATTCTCCACATCACTTCAACAAATGCCTCCCTGAAAAGTTGGTGGCTATTGGTTTCTTTGTTTTTTAAATATGTTTTTATTGGTTTTCAGAGAGGGGGGAAGGGAGAGGGATGGAGAGATAGAGACATTCTCCTGCTTCCTGCATGTCCCCTACTGGGGATCAAGCCCACAACCCAGGTATGTGCCCTGACCAGGAATCAAACAGGTGACATCTTGGTTCCTGGGTAGATGCTCAACCACTGAGCCACACCAGCTGGGCGCTGTTTTTATTTTACTTTTTTACTAGCAACCTTTCCCACTAGATTCTTCTAGTAACTGGCCCTGCCTCCCTGCCTCCCTGGTCATAGGAATAGGCATGTGGCCCAAGTCTGACCAACTGTAGAGCCCTATTTTCTTGGACACAGTGATTGAACCAAGGATGAGCATGTGGCCCAGCTGGGTCACTCTGCCATACTCTTATATTTGGATGCTTGGAGATTGGGCTCTTTCTTCTCTGGGGCAATGTGATCTGGGAACCCTCCTTTCTCTGAGGCAGGTGAAAGATCAGGGGGGATGCCCCCCTGGGGAGGAGAGTGAGGTCACAGAGAGGAAAAAGCGAAGCAGGGAGGGAGAGAAGGTGCAACGTTGAGCCTCTGGATCCAGCAGAGCCTGAACTTCCCAATTGCATGAGGCACTAGCCTCTCTTTTTGCTTGAGCTTGTTTGATTTTGTTTATTTGCAACCCAGAGCCTCAACTAGCCCGGTCTCCGTTACACGTTTGCCCAGCTCAGCTGACAGGGAATCGCATGATGAACTGTGTACACGTGAGGAGCCAACAGTTTGAAGTTTGGGAGGGCTCCACAGAGGAGATCATTGAGACGGGAGAGGGGCAATGGCTTGTGTACAGGCGCAGAAGCCTAAGAGATCCCTTAGGGAAATGGGGGGCAATTTGGGGTGCCTCAAATGCAGGGTGCAGGAGCGGGAGGGGGAGGAAGAACAGGCTTTTGAAGTCAGCAGGCAAAAGATCCTGCAAGGCCTTGGGGGAGGTTGATACTGAGGGGGGGGCGGGTGGAGCGGGGAGACTTCTGAAGAGTTGACATGGTCAGATTTATGCTTTAGGGCAGTAATGGCGAACCTATGACACACGTGTCAGAGGTGACACACAAACTCATATTTTTGGTTGATTTTTCTTTGTTAAATGGCATTTAAATATATAAAATAAATATCAAAAATATAAGTCTTTGTTTTACTATGGTTGCAAAGATCAAAAAATTTCTATATGTGACACGGCACCAGAGTAAGTTAGGGCTTTTCAAAATGCTGACACGCCGAGCTCAAAAGGTTCGCCATCACTGCTTTAGGGAGATCGCTCTGGGGCAGGTAGATGGTGCAGAGAGCCAGCCTGAGAGCAGGTGGACTCACCTGGGCTAGAGATGATGCGGGCTTAGGGGAAGTTTTAAGGAGATGGTAATCCAGGGCCTGTGCACTCCAAGACAGGAAGGAGGCAGGACTCCCCATCCCCCCAGTGTGGCTTCAGCCAGGAATGGCAGCCCCCAGCTCCCAGACTTCTGAGTCACCTCCTTAGGTTCAGGGTTGCCCTGAGGCCAGGTCAGCCTCCTTCCTCCGTCCTAATTGCTTCCTGCCAAGGCAGCTGGCCCCCTCCGCGTCCTTGAGAAAGCCCTTGTAAGAGCAATTGAGCGTTTCAGAAGGAAGCAGGCACCAGCAGCTGCCACTGCCCCCAACCCCAGGCAGGGGATAGTGCCCCTCTGACTACTGAGGGGTCTTCTGAGAGGAACATTCCACCACCAGCTCCCATCCCCAACCCTTTCCATATTTGGTCAGCGTAGGGGGTCTCAGGGCTTTGGGCGGGGCTCCTGTGAATGGTATAACAAACAAATTATGCTCTACTCAACCTCTGACCGCACTCCACTTGTCAAGCTGTGCATACGGCATGACAAGGCTGTGTTTGTTGAGAAGAAGGGGTATATTTTCCTAATTAGCCCAAAGATGCCACCATGGTCTGGCTGCATACTTACAGGGATGCTCCCCTCAGAGGGGATCCCTTTCCCTAATTAGTACATAGTGCACCGCATGGACCATTGTAACCCTGGAGAAGCCGAGCCCCACTATCTACTGCCACTAGCTTCCTTCTGGGGGAACTGCTCTGCCTGAAGACCCCGCATATCAGCACCTGGTCTGGCCATAGATGATTGGACCAAGGGGTCCCACCCAAAGCTAAGCTGAACCAATCAGATTATTTTGCTTTGGAACTGGAGCTAAGAGACACAGAGGGGCATTGTCATCGCTGGTGAGCCTTGATACAGAGTTAGGATGCAGCCACTTTGTGCAGGGAAACCCAGGAAGTCTGGAGAGAAACCCAGGAAAAGATGCAAATATTGCCAAGGGGATACGAGCCTGTGAGGCCCGGAGAAAAGAGAGAGGCCCATTCTCAGTTCTAGTTCCTGAAGGCCCAGTCGTTCTTGATTTTCCACCTTTAGGGTCCCTTGTAATCTGCTCACTCCTTTCTTTGAACTGTCAAGTGGGTCTGTTTCTAGGGTCCTTGCTAGAATAAGGACCTCCGTCCTAAGGCATTGCTGAGGTGCCTCCACGGTGTGAGCCCCCCCGCTGGCCCCTCACTCCCGCCCTCTCCCAGCTTAGAGAAGAGCAGGAACCCTCGGCACAGTCACACCTTTTATTCACTGTCAGTGAAAACACACACACACACACCACAGCACAGGGTGGAACAGCGAGGACAGTCACTGTGGGCACAGCCAGGGCAGTACATCCATAGGGGACAGGGCCAGAGTGGTGAATGAGTTGGGAGCACCCCTGTGCCACCCATCCCCCCTCCTGCCCCAGGCCTCAACACTCCCAGAGCCTCCACCAAGTAGGAAGGGCCAGATACCCTGAGAGGCCTGGTCCTGCCCCCACACTCTGGCAAAGGGAAAAGAAAACCCTGACAATCTCAGAGAGAAAAATCCCAATTTTTTTCAAAACTGATGAATAAAATATGTAGAAAATATATCCTTGCCCCCACAGTGATCGCTAAAGCCAGTACAAAGCCTCGCCCAGGGTGGGTCTTCAGGAAATATTTGCTGCTTTAGTAAATTTTTGTGTAAAAATTTACAGTGTCAGCTTACTACCTTGCTTAGAAACCCCAGGTATTCTCCCCTCCCCTCCCTCTCTTTCTCTCTCTCTCACTCTCAAAATTCATTTCTATCTCTAGGGACTCTGCCATTGTCAGAAAAAGATAAAGTGCCTTTGCTTATGGGCTTCCTTTTCCTTAATTTTTGATTTAAGGTAGGTTACGTAATCCTGACGATAGCTCAAAGGACTGCAGTGGCCATCTGAAGTAGCCCTTGTTGATGATTTTTAGAGATAAGAAGGAGCTCATCAGTTGGACCAAAGATTGAATGAGGACAGAATACAGTTAGAAGATAGATTTGGAATCGTGCAATTCAGAGTCGCTGCAAGAAGATACAGAACTTCAAAGGAGAGTCTGGATATATCATCGTCTTAACTGTCTGTATATTTTTGAGTCTATGTGAGTCGTACTTCCATCTCTGCTAACCTTGTGCTCTGTGACAAGTCCCTCTCAGCTGGGGCAGAGATGGGAGGACTGCCTCTCTTCTCACAGCAGGGCCAGTGCTCTACCACCGGAGCTCCCCAGCAGCGTCCTTGGGACATCAGGAGCATGTGGGAGCCAGGCCTGGCCTGTCTATGGCTCCTCCCATTAGCAATGCCGGTCGCTGGCCTGGCATTATGTATTCGGCACTGCTGGGTCTTTGGCCTCACCAGCAAGTATCAGCTAGGGATGTGTGTCCAAAAGCTTGGAGTGATCAAACACGCCCTCACAGGTAGGACTTGCCTACCAGCTGGGAAAACAAAAGCAGTTCTCTCAGGGAGGAAGTCCTTGGTAGAGATAGTGCACGATGCTTCCAGGGTTCCGAGTCAGAGGCCTCCTAGGACAGCACTGATTTGTAGGCAGAGCTACCCAGAACAGAAAACAAGGCGCTCGAAAATGTGGGGACTTCACCCCAGCTCCTATTTCTTTTTGGAAGACCACAGCTTCAGGAACTTCTTAGCAGGAAGCTTGTAAAAGACCAAACTAACTTAGCTTGTCGTCCCCCCTCCCCGCCCCCCGCTTCCCCCGCCAACCTCTATGCAACTCAGAGTCAAATAAATGAGTAGGGGAGAGACTCTGAAGGGAAGAACCTGCTTAGAGTCTTGGGTTCAAGTCTTGGCACTGTGCCACCTCCTGACTCTGGGCCTTTGCACATGAGACTCCCCTTCTCTGTGCCTCGGCCTCCAAGTCTGGAGAAAGGAAATGGGAAATGAAATCCCCATTTCCCTAGGCTGTGAGCGTAGAATAAGATGGGGTGGATGGCAAGCCTTTGAAAGCCATGAAGTTCTGTGTGATTGGGAGTTGAGTTAGATTCAACGTTTGGGGGATGGGAACCCCACTTTGTAAAAAGCCTTCCATTGGAAGTGTCAGCTGAGCCAGGCTATTGAGTATGTGGGGTGCCGACTGACAGCACAAGATATACCTCATGGCCAGCTCCTGAGCAATGGAACATCCTTTGAGGCGTTACTGGATAAAAGCCTACTGGTTACTGCCTGAGGATTTGAGTTCCCTAGCCTTGGTAACAGGCAGGTCATGGGCAGGATAGAAAGAGGTGGCAATCCAGTGGCCTCGCTACCTCCAAGAGCAGCAAGAAGGAAGGCCCAGTAGAGTTTTGGACCAAAGGTCCACATCCCCAAGATGAGAGGACATCCCGCAGAGAGAGAGGACAGGTGAACACTCAGAAGTAAAAGACAAGCTCCATCGCTTCCCTGCAGGTACAATCCGCAGCCCCAGCTCAGCGACCATTCCCTGTTCCCACCCTGGGCTGACACCACCTGTGTACTAGACTGTTTTCACCAGCAGTTCAAGAGGAAGTCAACTGTCACTGCACATGAAAGCTAATTTCTGATCACAAGTATAGGAGAAAGTAAAGGGAAAGACTTAAAGAAGCAAGATGAACTGTCTAGCAGTCAAAGCATGCAGCTATATAGCTCATGGATCCAAAATCGGAAAGCAGACATTGGGAAGCAAAGCCAGTGCACTTAGAAGATGATGAATTACCTGCCCGATTTAGGATTTGGAGTTAGAAAAAGCTTTTCAAACGGAGCATGCCCAGCACATGTTTAGGCATTTGGTCCATAAATGCAGCCTGGCACCTAAACACTGGCCAGATGGCTCTTCTTCTAGCTCCTTCTACTTCGGTAGCAGTGAAAGAACAAGCCCATCCTTGAAACTAGATCAAATCCAGAAAGGAACTACCAAGATGTGGGAAATACACAGTCTCACTCTCAGCGAACCTTGTTTTTGTGTTTCTGAAGACAGCACCTAACCAGACTAACAGAGTTGCTCACGGAATTGAAAAAGATCAGTAAAAAGGAAGCATTAGAAGCTGCTGATGGCAACAGCTCAGGATTTAGCTTGATAAGAAAAAGTGTTTTCTGGTGAGTTTGGTGGTGTTTCCCTCTTGTTTTTTTCTCTCAGCTCTTTTTCCCCATGAAAATTAGCATTTCTGTATTCATTTTATTATTTTATAAGAAATCAAGTAATATAGAGTATGTTTTAATACCCTAAACTAATAAAATTACTTTAGCTCCTTTTAAGGGTACTAAAAAAAATTAGGTATTGCATAAATTTCAATTTTTCTTAAAACTTCCACTTACATGGTTCTTAGACTTCCAAACACTTCATTTATCCTCCTGCAGCTCTGCATAGAATGGAGTGGAAAGATTTAATAGTTCCTCTCAAACTAACCAGCCTTACCCACCCTGTGCTCAGCTGTGTTCAACGTCTCTGACCACTGGAAGCCTGCCTCACTGTGTGAGCTTCCGGAGGGCACAGAATGTGTCCTGTAGACTACCATATCCTTAGCACCTAGAGGTGCCTGACATTGAACAGGGGTTCAATGACTGTTAGCTGAAGAAAGGACTGAATGAACGCTTCAAAGACAGGAGCCAAAAGAGCCAGGGAGAGTTGAGGGAACAGGGCAGAGACCACCTGTAAGGGACCTGGGTCCTTAATAAAGGACAGACCCAATTTGGCCCTTTAACTGGGGTGTGTGGAACCACATCTTATAAAATATAACCCCAGGAAGAACGGACTTTCAAAGCAGAACCCAGCCTCCCTCCTTAACCCTGCCTATAGGGGCAAAGCTAACTCCCCTTTGCCCAGTGGATGTTAGTTCTGGGCCAAGACTGGGGGTGGGTCTAGACCACAGGACACCTGAGGATCTCTCTTTTCCAGGGTGAAGTGTTCCCTCAAAGATCTTGATTGAGGGGAGCAGGGGCTTGGGCAGAGGGGTGGGTGGGCCAGAAAATGAGGCTGGAGTACCCCTGCCCCTAGGGAAGGGCCAGCCAGAGAGGTCATGGGGTTGGGAGGTGGCCCCGCTCCTCCTGGCCAGGGCCCAGCCCCTCACCAGCCTTTGCTCTCTACTTCTGCATGTCACACTGCAGCAGCAGCACAATGGATGGGTCACTCTTGGCTGCCTCCTTGAACTCCTCCAGAGTAATCTGGTCATCCTTATCCTGGTCCATCTTCTTGAAGATCTTGTCCACACGCTGCTGGGGCGTGAGCCCATCCTGGTTCATGCGCATCATGATCACGGTGCCCACCATCTTGTAGATAGCCTGGTGGGGCACAGGGGGCAGGAGGATTGGGGGTGAGTGAAGGGGGTTTGGGAGTGGGCAGGGAGAACACTGGGAAATGGGGAGGATGCTGGAAGGTGATGTGATGTATGGTCGTTAAGACTGGATATTTAATGAGCATCTCACACTAACATGTCTAAAACCCAACTCTTCACTTTCCACCTGCTCCTCCCCAGGCATTCATTTCCTGTCTCAGGAAATAGCAAATTCATTCTTCGAGTTGTTCAAAAACCTTGACACTATTCTTGACTCTCCTCTCATACCCATGTCCAATCCTTCAGTGAATCTCGTCCCCTCTAATTTTGCAATCAATCCCAATAAATCCCATATCCAACCACTTCTACTGACCCTCCATGGCTGTCACTTCCATCACATCCTGACTGGGCTGCTGTGAAGTCTCCTAACTCTAGTCTCCTTGCTTCCCATGAAAGCAGGAACTCTGAACAGCGCCTGGCACAGGACAGGCATTCAATACACATTTGTTGAAAGAACAAGGAGCTAAAAGAACTTAGGCTCTGGGGTCAGACTCCCTGGATTTGAATCATGAACCACCACTAGCTACGTTCCCTCATCTGTAAAATGGGGTTTCTGACAGTACCTGCCCTCCAGGGTGGTTGGGTAAAGGACTTAGCACAAGGCCTGTCCAACACCACGCTCCCAACCCCTGCTAGTGGCCTGGGAAGCGGGGTGGCGGAGAGGTGGGTGCAGCGAGGACGCTCCTGAGGCCCGAGGAGCTGGCTGGAGAGGGCGGTGCAGAGAAGGGCCTGGCGGCGAAGACAGGGGGCGCGCCACCCCGCACACCCCCGCCTCTGGGTCCGCCCCAGCGCACCTCGATGATCTCCAGCATCTCCAAGCGCGTGATGCGCCCGTCGCCGTCCAGGTCGTACATCTCAAAGGCCCAGTTGAGTTTCTGCTCGAAGCTGCCGCGGGAAGTGACAGAAAGGGCGCAGATGAACTCCCGAAAGTCGATGGTGCCATCGCCGTTCTTGTCGAAGGTGCGGAAAGCGTGCTGAGCAAACTTGGAGGCATCGCCGTACGGGAAGAACTGTGGAGGGGACGCAGGGAGTTAGGGCGCTCGCCCCCCAGGTGCCCGGCCCCGCCCCCACGCGCACCGGGCCCGCCCACCTTGATGTAGAGCTGCTGGAACTCCTCCAGGTTGAGGATGCCGCTGGGGCAGTCCTTCAGGAAGCCCTTGTACCACTGCTTCAGCTCCTGCTCGCTGAACTCGGTGTTCTGAACCAGGTCCTCCAGCACCTCCGGGGCCAGCTTGCTGTTGGTCTTCCCCATGGCGGGGCCTGGGGGACAGGCGCAAGCAGCGGTCCTCCAAGTCCCCGTAAAACAGGGTTCCCTTTCTCTACAAAAGCTCCCTCCCATAACAAACCCACATTTCCACAGCCAGGATCCCTCCCTCCACAGCTGGTTGGGTATCCCTCTTCTCACCACCACCCTCAACCAGCCCCATCTTCCTACAGCTGAGCTCTCCCCTTCACCACATCCCTTCCCATAGGAGCTCCTACCGCCCCTCTCCGCCCCTCTCCCAGAAAACTGGGTGCAGGTTTCCAGGATTTCTAGCCTTTCAGGTCTCTGCTCCCCTCCTTTTCACTGACAGGGGCTGCATGCCACAATCTTCATCCTCTCTTACCATTTACACCTTCCATAGCTCCCCACACCCATAGAATAAAGTCTTAATTCTCTCCTTGCTTTTCAGAGCTTTCACACTCAGCCCTACCTGCCTCTGTAGGCTCCTCTCCTACCAGGGACCCAAGGCGGGTTCCTCCTGTGTCCCCCTGGTACCACCTCCCAACTTCTTCAAGGCCTTCCAGGCCATCCCAGCGGGAAGCTTCTCTCCCTCTTTCTTCTGTACAAATAGAAGTCATAGCTAGTAGCACTGATGACCCTGATTTGATTCTGCTTTCTGTTAGTTCATTCATTCCCTGAGCATTTATTGAGGCTGACTGTGTGCTAGGCCCTGTGCTAGTCATGGGGATAAAGTAGACACAAGCCCACTTTCAGTAACTCATAATTAGGTCAAAGAGGCAGGTAGGCAGCTGATTGTAAAGGGCCTTCAATCCATGTCAAGAAGTTCAGCCTTTACCTGGAGGGGTTTTAAAGCAAGAGCTAGGAAGATAGCATTCCTTCCACAGCGCTTACAGAATGCTCACGATATAGCAGGTCCTGACCTAGGTGCTGGGAACTCAGGGAGAAGGAATGTGTTTGAGAATTTTTCCTTTGGTTACAGTATGCAAGAAGACTTGGGTGGGGGAAGGTATGGAGAGCAGAGAGGGATCTGCTGCATAGTTCAGATGAGAGATGATGACGTGAGGGTAAGGGATGTGAAGAGATGGGGATGGACTGAGAACTGTCAGGAGTGGGCACTGGCAGGACTTGGTAACTGAGTGGATGTGAGAGGGACGGAGGAGTTTAGGCGGATGCTCAGATTTGGGTTTGAGTGGATGGAGATGGTGTATGCTGAGAAGCAAGTTTGGGGCAGATGAAGAGTCAGTGCTCAGCTGGAACGTGAGCCCCTCGGGTAGCCTGTGTCAGAAGAAGTGTTTGCAGAGCAACCCTCTCCGGGAAGCGTGGTCACAGTGATGCCCCACTGGGCCCTGGATGAACACTCCGGTCTGAACTCCGTGGGAGGAATGTCCCTCCAGAGCTTGAGTTTCCCAGGACATGGCCTGGGAGGTGACTTGGACCTGCTTGGAGTCTGGAAGGGCCCCAGAATCCAATTGCAGGGTAGCCTGCCATGAAGATACTCTAGAAAAGGAAGCGCTCAGGCCAGAAAAAGGAACGCCCCTTTTACGGCCCAACCTAGGCCAGTGTGGCTTCTAATCTTTACTGCCGAGAGCACCATAAACAGAGGTTGGTCTGTCCCATGTCCCCTCCTTTGCTGCCTGGCTTCCAGTTAGTTACAAGATATCTCTGGGCCTCAGATTCCTCCCACGGGCCATGAGGAAGATCAAGGAGCAATGGGGGTGGCTACATCCTCCCCTACCTACCACCCTCAGAGGATGAGAAATCCTGTATTCCCTCAGGAGAAGCCATGGGGGGGTTGGGGGGGAGGCCACCTTCAGAAACCTGGAATTGTCAGGTTCAAAACAGTTGCACTGGGGCAAGAGTCAAGGACACTTCTAGAACACCATGGGCAGAAGGAAGTAGGCTCCTAACCCAGCTGCCTCCTCCTCAAGTCCAAAGTACATTGAAGACTCAGGGTATAGTCAAGGAAGCTAGAGAACACAGAGGTGGACGTGTCTGATGGGGGAGGCAGAGCCTCTTCCGCTGTCTCCTGTGGAATGTGTCTGAGTGTCTGCATCAGGTGCAGGGTGTGGGTGGGAGCGTGTCAATGTATGAGATTGCAAGTCTGTCAGAGAGCACTGTCTCTGTGTGTCATAGTGTCTGTGTAGCTCCCACCTTCTGCCCCTGTTCCCCTCCCTCCCACAATTCTGTGTCTCCTGGGGCCATACCTGTTCTTGGCCCCCATTTGGTCCCAGGCCCACCAAGGACTATGTCTTCATCTCCTTTCTCCTTATTCCCTCTATTGCTTTTAGATTGGTAGGCCAAAACTGGCAGTGCCCTTTAAGATCATCCCCTTATGTTAGTGAAAACCCAAAGAGAGGAGAAAACCAGCTTGAGTTACACAGCAGGTCAGTGGAAGATCTCAGATGAGCACCTAAGCTGAATCCATGCTAACTGCCTGAACCACTCCCTCCAAATCATGGCCACTCTATCCAATGCAAGCCTTCTCCACTCCTACCTGCCTTTTGGGAAAAACCATAGCTCTGATCTGCCTCTTAGCCTCAGTGGGACCATCTTACTGAGCTCCAGGTCACAGTAGCTGACACCCTTTGGAGTAGCCCACTAGCACCTCTAACCCAGTACATCTACAACCAGACTCATCTTCAACCTGTGGCTGTCCTCTCTCCATCACTCCTTCCCACCCTTGTCCCAGGGGGGGAATGCCATCTTAGATTTGGGTTTGAGTGGGTCCCTTCTCTTTTTCCCTAGGTCCAACTTGCCACCAAGTCCTATTGTTCCTTCTTTTTTAAAAAAAAAAATGTTTTTATTGATTTCAGACAGGAAGGGAGAAGGAGAAAGACAGA